CCGAGACTGTGTTGACCGCATCCGAGACACAGGCCGTGGCGTATGAGATGTGCTGTCGAGCGGCCAACATATGCCGCGCGAGTGAATCCCTGTTGAAACTCATTTGGGATATCAAACAGTTTCTCATTATTAATGACTTTCCGCTAATCAACGAATCCATATCCGAGAAAGTGGACACTAATCTCACCAACGTTTCAGACATTGACCACAAACTTCTTAACCTCAGGGATGAGATCGCGAACGAGTTGTACGAATTGGAGGACGAGTACTATAACTCTCTCATCAAGTGATCACTCCATTTAATCTCTATCTCTGTCTCACATATAGTCTTCATATTCTTATAAATAGTTTTATTCAAATAAATTGTTTCGCATTTTTGTATTTAATTATCTATTTCTTTACAATTATAAGTGTATTTACAACTATTTTCTCATCACCAATCGTTTCGCTCTCTCTCTCTCTCTCTCTCTCTGAGAAAAATTAAATAATACAATGGTAAATATAATTTTGAATGTAATATTAAATTATTATTAAAATTTATTGAAATTTATTTATATGTAAATAAAATTATATTGTTTTACATTTATATCGAAATGTTTTTACGAATTCATTTATTTTCATTCAATTTAATATAAGGATTAGATTCTTTCAAAAGTCAATTCAAACCACAAAACAATGATATTTTGTATACAAATATATTTCATAATCAATAAAATATGAATATAAGGGATAAGAATAAATCCGTTTTAAAACAATCAAAAGTTAGTTCTCGTAATTTAATTATCTATTGGTTTTAGATTTAAGTGAACACTAAAATCGTTTCAAAAACTATTTCCAAATGATTTTCAATCCATAAAATAAGGCAAACCGTCGTGAGAGCGCCTTCGGGTCAATATCTCATACCCGGTGTCCGTAACGAGAAATGTTTGCTCGAATTGAGCGGATCTCTTGCCATCTTTGGTGACAGCGGTCCAGTCGTCGGGCCAGCACTCGTCCCTCCACGTGCCCTCCGATATCATCGGCTCTATTGTGAAACAATGGCCGGCTTTCATAATACCCACGGCTTTATTCTTGGCATAATGTGGCACTTGTGGGGCCGTATGGAACAGACGGTGAATACCTGTCAAACCAAATGCATCTTATAGTCACATAATTATGACAATACAATCGTATCAAACGGTAATAACGCATACCGTGTCCGCAATAACTCTTCACCACTGAATAACCATTGGTTTGAACGTGTTTTTGAATTACATTTCCGATCTCTCGATACCGTTCGCCGGGTTTTATGAGTTCAATGGCCTTTCAAATGAATGACAAA